TAATCGTTTGGTCTTCTTTCTTCTGAAGAGCCTCTTTTCCTTTTGTCAAAGTGCACTCAGGCTGATTCAATTACTATAGAACCACGCTTTGACGGAATAAATTATTTTTGTTATTTCCTTTTCCTGTTAGTCTTACTCTAACAATTTATACCTTAGGCCTATCACTTCTACGGTAGTTAATTTCACGCCGAACTTTTCTTGCTTGTAATTTTGCTCTCTTTTGCTATTATCTGTAGGCTGTTTCAGCACGTCTCACGCTATTTATATCTTTATTATTTAATTGTCTGTCTGCCTTCTATATTTTCGACGTCAGCGTATTGCATGTGACGTTTGATAGTCTCAATATCAATGAATTATTAACAAAACTCCCTACAATCATTTGCTTTTAACTCTTATTATAACAAAACTAAACATTAATAAAATGTTCACTCACAAAAATAAATTAATCAATAATATCTAAACTAAACTGTATTTTATATCATGATTCTGTAAAAACATTTGTTTCACAATACATACAGGCAGAATGGAAAACAATAAGAGGTCTTTAAGTTTTAAACTGCCAAGTGGTTAAGGCACTCGACTCGCAGTCTAAGGGTCGCGGGTTCGAATCCCTGTCACACCAAACATGCTCGCCCTTTCAGCCGTGGGGGCGTTATAATGTGACGATCACTTCCACTATTCGTTGGTAAAAGAGTAGCCCAAGAGTTGGCGGTGGGTGGTGATGACTAGCTGCCTTCCCACTAGTCTTACACTGCTAAATTAGGGACGGCTAGCGCAGATAGCCCTCGTATAGTTTTGCGCGAAATTCAAAAACATAAACAAACAAGTTTTAAACTAGGGTCAGCCTGAAGTTAAAGAAGGGGAGGAAAACATGGTACAGGAAGGTATCAAATGGTTTCTGTCTCTTTCGTTATATGTACTTTATGTTGATGTTAAATTATAATATTACTCGTGAGAGAGAGAGTCACTAAATTTCTCTCACTTTTTTTATTCATAGGATGGGGAGAGTCATCAAAGATGTTTTGGTGTTCCCCATTAGGGAAGATTGTTGTCGCATGAAATATTACACATATTGTTGATTTGTGTAATGTGGTATTCAGTCTCTTTCTATGTGTCAGGAGTTGTCGATGTTTATGAAAATCAAACCTTTACTCTATAACGTACTATTCAACAAATATTTTGTTTTTACGGATCCTACCTGTTTACTCTGAAAGAAATCGATGAATCAGAACATACCACAATTGCATTGTCATCCCCTTGTTTTCAAAACTTGAATAAAACAACTTGATATTTTTTTATTTATTGACTGTAGCCCCATGGAGAATATCTTGTTTTATTTTTTCATTACAAATAAACAAGTTTTGATAGAAACTTCGTTTGTTTTAATGCTATGTTATTGGCTGATGGAAGTGATTGTTTCTCATTGTAACCAGGGTGATTTCTTGAGGACGAACACATCCTTGTTGACTTGAGTGTCCTGCAGGTCATGTGAATAGTATGTGCAATTAAACAGAGAGAGAGAGAGAGAGAGAGAATATTGTACGTATTCCTATGTTTTTCCTTGTTTGATTTATATTTTCTTAGAATGCTCTTGTTTGAGATAAAGATTTATAGATAACTAATTTTTGTTAATTGTAGCTTTGCACACATTAATTCCAGTTTAACATTTGTTAGCCTTTTATTTACTAAAGGTCTCACTACTCTTTTCCATACAGTTCTTTAGACCATATTAGAAACATCTACCTTTGTTAAATTTACTTAAATTTTGTCTGTTTATTAACACAGGTTGTTGACTTGTGGAATTTGGTGTCCAGGCTCTTTCTCTGTGTTAGACTTGGTCGAAGTTGAAAAAAAAAAATCAAATCTTTACTCCATGACATAGTACCCAACACATCTCCTGTTTTTGCGGACCCTACCTGTTTACTCTGAAGGAGATTAATGAATCTGAAAATATCACAAGTGCATTGCCATCCATTTGTTTTCCAAACTTAAATAAAACAATCCTGATGTTTATTTAATTATTTATTGTAATCCCATGAAAAATATCTTGTTTTAATTTTACATTGCAAATAAACATGTTTTGATAGGAACTTTATTTATTTTAAGGGCATATTATTGGATGTTTCATGGATTTTCAGCAGAGTAAATGTGTAGCTAGAGTACGCTAAACAGGGGAGTCCAACAAATACCGAGTTGTAGATTATGGGTTCGTGCTTCACTGATATCAAATTGAGTTCGTCTCAAATAAAGTGTCATTCCCCACACATAATGCACGAAATAATGATTATTGAAACAAATACAATGAAGGTGTGGAAGTTGCATGAAAGATATCGAGGATTTGAAAATAAAAATTTATTGGTTCCTTTATAAATTTTCAATGTGAGGTCGCTCCCCTGTAAGAAAGAGAAAGTTAAAACTCAGTGTTAAAACAAGATAAACCTCTCAAAGTAAAACAAGTTACTGAAACAAGTCTGAGTTTTTAAAATTGCATAACAAGGGAGATTCTAACTTTAAATGTCAAAATGCAATAACATCAACAAAATCAAACTATTTACGGTACATATATTGTCCGTGTAACATTGATATTTTTCAATCTTTAACACAGGTACCTTGAAGTCTGGGCAATTACACAATTCGCCAACTTCACGAGTGAAGTCATAACTATCTTTTCTATAAGAAAACATGCTTAAAAAAAGATCAGTTAGTAAATCTGGTCCTGCTTATAGCTAGGGTAAGAAGTTTTGTTGCTTACTTGAGCGACTCTTTGCGTCCAAATTGAATAGAAATAGAAATTTCGAAAACTTACATATTTTGCCGCCCCCCAGTGGCACAGCGGTATGTCTGCGGACTTACAACGCTAAAAACCGGGTTTTGATACCTGTGGTGGGCAGAGCACAGATAGCCCATTGTGTAGCTTTGTGCTTAACTTCAAACAAACAAACATATTTTGCATGTTAACTAACAGTTTAGCAAACATATAGTACCGTCCTGTACTACAATGCAAAGTTGAGCTTTTGAGTATATAAGAACACAATTACAATAAGTACTAAAAATGAATAACTGTTCTAATAACAAGTTAATTAGCTTTTTTGTTCATGCTACTTTGTAATCCCATAAAGAATGTGTAACTTTATTTTTCTTTATGAATAAATACCTTTTTAGAGAAACCTTATTTCTTTTAACGCAAAGTAAAACCAGGTTTCTATCTATATGATCACATTGCAACTAGAACCAAAAATAACTTACTCTAGTTTTTAGGATTTAACTATGTAATTTGTGTATACAACTTTTCAATTTTAATGAATTATTTTAATTCATCATTTTCATATTGGATGACAGAATTAACAAGTGGGTTTTACAATTATAAAGCATAGAAAATATTTTTAATTTATATAAAAAAATGTTTTCAATAAACACTGGAATCTTCCCCGACATATTTCAGAATTATTAGTTGATTTTGCAGGAATTTTCTTAGGACTTTCATACACAGTGCTTGGATTTCAAAAATTCTAGAGTGAAAGCGCTTCTTTTATTGCCCAACGGTGTTTTACACAGTACGTTTGTGGAAGATGGAGTGGGGATTGGTAACTTTAAATAAATTAGCGACCACTTTTAAACCATATTGGTCTGAAAATGGGATATTTATCTTTATACTCACGTTTTTGTGGATAGTATATTTTTGGGAGAATTATCTTTCATATAGACAGGTAAGATATTACTTATTATAATTTATAAAAGACATCCGACATTCTTTTGTATACTATTGCCACTAGTACAAGTACTCGCCCATTAGTAGTTGAATTTAGAAACTAGACTATATTGTAGTTCACATTTAATTCCAACCGGTTACAACGAAAACTAGCAATAGTGCTACTACAAGTACAATGTAAATGTATGTTTAATTACTATATATATATGTATATATATATATATATTATATATGTGTGTGTATATAGTTTTATTAATATCTTGTGTGTGTGTGTGTGTGTGTGTGTACTGGAGTAAAGTTGAGTGTGACACTAACAAAAAATAAACATATCATTCTACTTCCAAAGAAATAGCTATAACTTACTGTTAGTGTTACTGAGTGTTAATGTTTAGTTGTAGTTGTAAGATTTGGTGAACTTTTACAAAAAGAAGTAGAAATAAGTATCCCCAAATGGTTAAATAGTGTGAATGAAGAAAACTTCAAAGGATCTTGGCATAGTGATGGATAAGTCACTCAAGCCATCAAAGCAGTATGTTGTTGCTATTAGTATTAGTAAAGCTAACAGTAACAGTGTATGTTCATAATTCAGAAACGTGTTCATTATGATACAGCATACAAGTCAAAAAGAGTTACTTATCTATACAAATCAGTAGTTAGGCCTCACTTATAATAATGTGTACAGTTTGTCATGTTATCTAAGTTCTAAGAAAGGATGTCGACTTGCTGAACAGAGTTCAGAGGAGGGCTATCCCTAGGATGAGTCTGGGGATAGAAAGGTTACTTGAACTGTTTGAAGGGGAGGGGGGACAGGTTATGCCTTTTTAGATATATTGTTAGTCAATAATGAGGATACAGATGCAAGAGTTGAAAGTAGGAGAACATTTTCGTAAGAGTAATCAATACATATATATATATATATATATATGGATGCAAGGGAGCATTTAGATACCTACACATCTACCCTTTACTTTAGTAAGATCTAAACTCACCTTTTATTTTTCAGGAAGTATTAATTCTCCTTTTAAAATGCCGAATTCCACTACTACTAAAGGAAATTCATTCCATTAGCCAGTCGCCCTGTTAGAGAAATAAAACTGTCTTAACTGGAGTTTAGTCAGTTTTGTTTTGAAATATTAAAATTATGTTTTCATGTATGTTGAGATAAAAATAAATGACATTTTATTTTCTAATTTTCAGAAAGCCAACTTTGTGGCCACAGACAAGATTCATCATTAGTAGTAATATACATTACTTCCATGGTTTCCTAACACTTGGGTTTTTTTTTTTGCCCTCCACTTTCCAACAAAATTAGACTCTGATGATTACTTCATTAGTGAGTGGGTGATAAGTGGAATTTGCTAATTCTGTTAATCATTGGACACATTAATAGTTTACATTCCTAATTGATTGTTCTCGCATGAGACTAATCTTTCTAATTCGGCTTGTTTGTGTTTTTTTAAGACATTTTCAAATTACTCCTTCATTTAGTATCATAGACATCTTCAGGTACAACAATTTAGGATTAATTTGCTTTTTAAATTCTAAACTGTTGTATACATATATGACAGGATAGTACAGAAACCTGTAACAAACTAAAAATATGATTAATACCAGTCCATAGGTTTCTCCTCACAAATATTTACAAGACTACTGAAGCTAAGCGAAGTTATTCTTCATTAAAAAAAACATAATTGTCCCTAGATGTCATAATAAAATTAGTAAAGATTTTTGTCACAGACATAAAACAGATAAAATGTGATTCAGGGAAACCAATTTCACTCTGAACCTAAAAAAAACAAAGATACTTCAATATTTCCTATTTGGTAAGATACTTGATACTAGATGACCTCTTTGCAATGATTACAGTTATTTATAAGATGGAAGTCAATATATGAAGTATTGAAATCATGGTTGAGTAAAAAAACAACTTAAGTTACAAACATTTCAGATCTGTTTTCTAATTCTATAATCAGTGTGAAAATCTTTAAAAATAATTAACAACCTTATATATATATATGTATGTATAAAAACATCTTATAAGTGAGATGTTGTGATATGGATTGAAGTTTAAATGAATACATTAAAATGATTAATATATTTTCTTTTTACAGTACAGGCTGAAAGATACTGTAAAAATACATGATACATGAAAGTGCTGAGAATTCAGTAAAATGAAGCTTACTGTACTAAGCATGTAATGACAACAAGACTTGATTTCCCTTTTCAGTGCTTCCTATCTAACTAGAACTAATTTTAATTAAACATGAGTCCTTTTTGTATAAATAGGTTAATGACTTAACAGTGTTGCATATTGTTAGACTAATACTAGTCCATGTACAAGGAAATCAAGGAGGACAGTTTATAAGGTTTAAACTTCTTTAATCGTGTCTAATTTTCTAACTTATGACAACACATAACTGAAAGACTGCTAAAAAAATATAAATAGAGGGCACCCTTAGCATTTATGAGGTTTGGGGATTGATTGTTAATTATCCACAACTCCATAATACTCATATCGTTAAAACCCCTTTTAGAGTTTGTAGTTATTTAATCTTATTGGTTTTTGTGATAACCCTGGAATTACAGAAGCTGGTTTTGCTGGTGTGTTTGTCATGATTGCAGTAGGAGTTTCTGCAACCATTTCCCTGGATTTTTCTTGGTTGCCCCAACAGTTTTGGTTGTTGTGGTTCCACTAAATGTTTACTCAGAGTATTTGGAGTTTTAATTTCAACATAGTTTATTTTCTTGGTTTTGTTCATTCTCATCTATCTTTTGAACTGTTTTTCTTCTCCATTTGCTTTTTTGTTGATATATGATGAAATCTGTTTTTATTGGTATGTTGTGTCTTGGAAAAATCTATTTTACGTGAAGAATTGGGCATTGTAGATATGAAGTATTCCAGTTTTGGGATTTTAGAGATTCCCAAAAGCAATCAACTGTTATAATTTGTGGTATTGTTCCATTAAAAAACAAACATTTACTACCAGTAACCAAGATCTTATTGGAATGGTGTGAGAAATCATTGTTTCTTTGATATTTAAACTCCTGTTTTCTTGAAAAACCTCAAATCTTGAGATTAGATCCTTTATTTGAGCATTCATTCTAGGCCAGAATAGCACATCTCCCTGTTTTTCTTTGGTCTTCTACATTCTCATGTGACCAACATGAAATCTTTGTAGCAAGATGTATTGCCCAGCTGTGGGAAGCATGGTTTCCTGCCTCTTTAAGTATGTATCCTTTCACTTAAACCAGTTCATCTCTGTAATTTCAGTAATTAGTAGTGTTGTTCTTAACCCTCTATTTGGAATTTGGCCATCCTCCATGTATGACTTTACATAGAAACTTTGTAAGGTGTCATCTTTCTCTAAGTCTTGCGTCAGATACTGCTATGTAATGTTGCTGATGGCAATATTTATGTAGCAGCATACATCTTCCTCTTTGTTGATAAAAGTTTGGAGATGGCTTGAATGGATAATGAAAAAAACTTTATTATAAATGCACAACATTTTGACAAGATTATGTCACCATTGGGTACCTGATGATATAATCTCATTGAAATGTTGTATATAATAAAGTTTCCTTCATTACTCATTCAAGACTTTTATTTTCTAAAAAGTGGGTTCCTCACCATCAAATTTAAATTCTTCTATGTTGATTTTATGTTTACAGTTTTTTAAAAAAATATGTGGAACTAATTGTGCTTAAGTCAAAATTGTTTTTATATAGAACAGCATCATTCTTTATAGCCTTCAGGGCAATGCAGCAAGCAGTTTTTTCATAACTGATTCCTGCAAAGTATGATTTGATTCAACTGTCACTGATCAGATCTTTCAATGGCAGATATTGTTGTCAAAAGTTCCTTCTTAGTTTACCACACCTTTGTTTAGTTTCAGTCATTTTTCTTCGTCCATCAGCTATTGTCATTTCTTCCTGATAGATTACTTCTCCTAATTCTGGTTTTTATGCATCACGTTCAATCATTACCGGGTTATCAATATTAAAAAACCTTAAGGTAGATACTTGTTCCTCAAAAGTATTTTTCTCTCCTTTTCCCCCATGTTAATCTCACTATTTTTGGTCAAGTGTCATTGTATTTGACTCATTATCATTGTTTGTTACAGTATGAATTTCTAAGGTAGTTCACTGTACTTCAGTGCTTATTTTATCTTTTGATATTTCCTCGATGTCTTTTATTTTCATTGGATTTGGTTTTAAACTGTATTTGCTTATACTTTGTTCTATATACATAACTTTATTTTGAACACCAATATGTTTTTGTTCAAATATATTTATTTCTTGGCACCTTTGCAGTGTTTTTTTCCACTTGTTTCTCATGTTGTTTTTCTGTGGAGCCCTATACTACTATGCCATCATTGGTTATAACAATATTTTTTAAGATCATCAAAAGCTTGTGTCATTATTCCCTTGTGGAATAATTCCTTTGCTAAGTAGAATCCAAATGGCATGCAGAGAAAAACTGTTGTATCTTTCAAATGGTATAATGAATGTGGTGAGTAGCTGACTTTCTTTGTCAAGTAGAATTTGCTTGTATCCATGGTTTGCATCAATTTTGTGAAGGATTTGGCATCTGCCATTCTTGTGGAAATAAAGTATCGGTCTCGGTTAATCTATGTCACAATATTTTGTAGAGGAAATGGAAAATTGTGAGAGGCCACAAATTACAATTAATATCAGTACTGCCTACGTTGCTCCGGTCAAAAAATAACTGCTCCATAACTTTTATACCTCTGAAGACCTAGAAGTTAAGAGAATGTATTAAAGATTTTTCTGACTTATATATCATAGTATGGGGGAATATTACTAAATTTGAAAGTGGTTTTATGGGAGACGAGCTGTAAAAAATGCGATATGAATAATTGTAATAATGCAGCATTTAAGTATTACGATAAGAGTAGCTGGTGAGATCCTTTACTACTAAACAGTCATATCATGAAAATAAATATAAGTAGTTTAAAAATGCCAATATCATAAGATACCTAGATGTTATATTAAGCCAAGGAGTTATAGCATCTGCAAGGAAGCAGGTTGTCACATAGAAACAGAATGGCAATTGATGATAACAATGATTTTACAATTTATTACAAATAATAAGGTATTTACAAATTTTATGTCAAAATCTATATAAAACTAACAAATAAGTTCCCAGCAAATTTCCCATTTCTCCAGTACAGTCTATTTTAATACACAAATATCCCCCAGAATATTCCCATATTATATTTGTGGCTGTTAGTCTTGTAATTGTCTCTAGTCCCTCCAAGTGTTTTTCTGCATCAGGATGAATATTTTTAAGAGAAGGGATGGTAATATTTTAGTACTTGCTCATATGTCACAGACAGAATAATACAGTTATGACCATCATCACAACCAAAAAAACATCTGATCAATTTCTCATATATTACCAGACTACAATAAAAAATAATCAAATTAAGAAGCAGTTCAAGTGTTTAATATAGTTGTGGTGTAGTTTCTCCATACAAATATCACCAATAATTGGGTGTTCATCCTACAAAACACAATATATTCACAATAATAATCACTATATTCAAGTTTACTTCTCAACTGCTGGATGGTCGTAACTCTGTGCATCGTGTGAGTCGTGTCTTACACAAATAAATTTAGCATAATATATACTAATTTTCCTCGCACATTCATTGACTCATTACCAAATTATAACTAATAATTACTTACAACAAATAAATGTGACTCACCATACCATGCCTAATGAGTAGCACACAAAAATAATAATAAATACTCAAACTTTTTACTCTACATGTAAAAGAATAAACTCAACTTTCTTCTTTAAATACAAACATGATAATACCTCCATATACACAAATGGGAAATTCCCCAGAAACCATATAACCAGATGTGATAATGAAAGTACAATACACCGATTTTAAAAACTTGTGTTGGATACATATGGATGAGAGAGAAAACATAGGGTTAAGATTTTACACTCCTGTTGATGAGCCTAAAAAACACACTTCAGCTCACTTAACATTAGGAATTGGATGTGTTATTGACAGATATTTTATCCAAGATCTGTGAAATGGTGCCTTAATATTACAGACAGCTATAATTTAAAAATTGTTTATTTTAACAAGAGAAAAATACACTAGACTAACTTACAATAACTGACCAAAAAACTGATTACATAACACAACTAAATACTGTAGCTTTAAATCTTCTCAAAGCACACTCTTGAAACACTAACTTTCTGGAATAGTAAAATCTTTATACAGTGATCAATCTCTATATTAATCACATATTTACCAAGATTCTAGTACGTGACTGACAATAATTATTAATCTTTGTACAATGGTGCAAATAATGCATTCAGGCCTCAAGTTAATCTGAACTACTTATTAAAGTATAAGGATATTGATCTGTTGGAAAGGGTAGAGAAGAAGGCTCCTAGAGTGATACCTGATTTACAAATTTTGACCAAAAAGAAAAATTGGAAGTATTTCTGGTTTCTTGATTGATAAAGTTAATTGAATTTTAAACAAGTTTTTGGAAACCTAAATCCATACATGTCAGACATTTTTTGTTGTTGTTGTTGTCAAAATAGTTTACATAATGAAATATACTGTAAGTTTGAAATCTAAAGTTCAGAGAAGTTTAAGCTACTGTATTAGCTACGTTATTTTAAACTTACAGAATTTGAGACAATAGCAAGTTGCCTGCTTGCTTGCCCTAGTTAGTAAAAGTACAGTTTATCTTGTATTGGCACTTAAGAGTTTTATGGTAAAACATTTTTCATAAAATATACAGAGTGTGCCAAAATTACCTTTCCTATTTTGATTATAAATAAACCAATAACAGACACACAAAAATGCAGTTCCAACATCTTGTGGCCAAATTCAGAGTTTTTATTGACATATCAGTAAACTTCCAGATATGCACCATTAGTGACTCAGCACATCTAACATCTTCAGTTTCACAAACAATTTTTGTGTTATCAGTATTTTTCATTGTTCAGTTCGTCACACTGGGGTGCTACCAGGAAGGAAGAAAACAGTGTCATTAAATAGTGTATGAATTGGGCATAAAATGTTCCAAACTACATTTTATATGTACATTAGTTACGTCTTTACATATGTTCAAAATACAAAAAAGTAATTATGGAAAACCCTGTATTTAGTTGTATCAAAATGCTAAACTTGTATGATTTCACTTGATTTGAACATCAGAAATGTTTTACATCAGACTGTAGTAATCTTACTTATTATGTTGAATTTTAATAAATTACAAGGGATATTATAAGATTATTTCTGAAAAATCAAGTTTTACATAATTTAACCAAAGGCACAAATTTAGTGTCATGTTTCAGTTACAGTTGTTATTAATACGTATCTATCCCTTTATACTTTCAAAATGGCTGATTTCTAAGGTAGATAAGACATAAAAAATTAAGACATAGATTAAAATAATCAAACTTAGATAACTTAAATCTATGTGAAGCTAAAAATTACTAAAAGATTCTTGTTATTGTAACGTCTTTCTACATGCGCTTAGACACACAACTACATAGTTGTGTAACCGATTTGATAATATCAAAAAGAATAAAAAAAGGGTAACTTTTAACAACAGGATGATCATATCAAAATATTTAGCTGTGTATTTATATGTTCATGGTTTTATTATGTTTTTATACTCAGCACAAGGAATACAAAAATGCTGCATCTGTACCTCCTGAGCTGGCAGGTGTTATTGACTCAGAAACCTTCGCTAAAGCAAGGGCTTATCAGTTGGACAAAAGTTATTTTGGATTCTGGGCAGGACTTTGGGATCAATTGGAAAACACTGTAAGTACTTTGTAAATCTAGAATCAATAAATTATTATTTTTGTGTTTGTGTTTTGTGATTTAATTGTTAAACATTATGCAATATTTCTTCTTTATTAGTATGATAGAATATATCTGCAGATTTTGTTTTCAGAACTTGTTGAATTGGTTTATGAAGGAAAAGAGCGTGATTTTGTGTGGAAAATGGTGTGTTTAAGTATTCTTTTTTTTTTGCCAGTTGGCATTCTTATGATTTTGTTTCATAGAAATGTTTATGCCAGAGTACATACACACAAATAAATCTTAAAAAGTGGGATCCAATGTGAAGGAACTCGAAAAAAGGGTCATGTATAAAGTAAAAAAAAAAAGAGTTGAAAAGTTATACAAAATAGAAAATTAATTGTAATTTCTAAAAAAATATTTTTTTATTGAATAGTCTTCCATAGAGTCCAAGACTAATTATCTACTTTGATGATAGTGTTCCATTAAAGCTACAATTGAGTCACTCTCTCACTGGTTATACTCTATCCTTGATATCATTATTTTGACTTTTTATTATAGCTAAAGCTTTTCGTATATTAGTAAGTGCTGTAAAAGTATAGATTTATAGCTGTGATTTAGTTATGAAAACATTGAAAGGATCCTAAGCAGTTTATGAAACTGATATGGAAAGGATCCTAAGTAGCCATTAACTATCAAACAGCTATTTTTTTCTTATTGGATCACTGATAGTTGTTCTGACTGTGATTCTTCATCTTTCTATAAATTTTTGTAGAATTACAAATGTTGGTGGTTATTGCAACTGTAGTTGTTGTTTGTTTTGTTGTTGTTTATGCAAATGCTGAAAGAATTTTAAGGTGGTTATGAAATGGATGGATCATAATCAGTTCTTATAAGTGTAATTCAGTTATTTTTTATGCAAAGAGGAGAAGTATTCTAAAAGGCTTTTGCAATGTGATTGAAGTAGTTGCTTCACTGCAAATATTGGAGGGATTCTAAAAGTCATTTTAACTGTAAGCACTTATCTTTCTTCAAATATTAGAAGAAATATAATCAGTTATCACAGCTGTGATTTAGTTATGGGATGCAAGAAAAGATGCTAAGGTCTACTAAAACTGCAATTTAATAATCTTTTTTTATTTGTGTAATTAGTTGATTGAAACTTATTGTGATAATCCGGAGTATTAATTCTTACAATCTATACAAGTAGTACACATGATTTAAAACATTGAAATGCACTATGTAAAAATTATTTCAAATTGAAAGTTTTTGTTGTTTTTTTTCTCTACAACTTGTGTAGGTGATTCTTGTGTGTGGTGGAATACCATTCCTGTGGAAGGTAGCAGGTAATATTTGTGCCCATTATGGATTTAATCCAGATTATGAGGTAAGATTATCAGCTAGAAAAACCCTTTTTTTTAGCCTGTATAAGAAGCTCCTGATACATTTATTAGACAAATAAATACACAAAAATAAACTTAATTAACTAGCTAGTGAATGTACGTTGTTTTTTTATAAAACTAAGAAGCATATTTGTTTCATTTCTTATATATCTTTCTGTATTAAAACTGTCTGCAAGTTTCAGTTTATAGTAAGAATTATTGAAAACCAAATAATGATTATACACCAACTGCTTTGCACATAGATGTGTAATTATCTGTCATCAATAATGTATTGAATGACTCCCTATATTCAAAATGTGAAAGATTTTTGTACGAGCTACAGATACCTGTTATAAGATTAAACTAAAACTTAAGAATTCAACTGACATTGTTGAACAAAAAACATTACTGATTTGATACACAAAAGTATTTCTGCCTTTACAATAAAATAAAATTCAAGTTATGTAGTAAAAATAAAATCAAATATAACCTTTGACTGCAACTTATTGTTACCAATGTTTTCATTGGGTCTGAATATTTAATGTACGTCTCCTAGCAGATAGATCCAAAATGCTGTTTATATACACACATAACTCTTTTCAGCACAGGCTCGGTCCCTGGGACCGACCTCGTACCCATTTTGTGCTTGTTATAGTTTCCATGCTATAACTTTTAAATTATTAAGCATATGTTAACGAAATTTGGTAGATTATCAGCAAACATTACAATGCTTTCATACACAAAATATCATTTTTTTTTATTAAGCTTTTCCAACATGCAAAGTAATTTTCATTTTAAGATTAAAAATACTTTTATGCATCAGAAAATTTTCAAATTTCACACGCGAAATCTTTATAATATCCAGATAGTTATCAAACATTTCTTATGAAAAAAACTATTTTGTCTGTTATTTTCTGAACGGGTTCGGTAGATTTGACCGATCTTGTAACCATCATAAAAATTAGGAAATAAATATTTATTATGCCTCTTTTGTTCTAGAATGACAACAAATTATAACACAAAAACATAAATATTTAGACTAAATAGCTTAAATCTTATAACATATATAAATTTATTATTTTTATTATATTACCTTTCAGCCGTGCCTGGCTAACAATACAGAAGTTACAATGATGCGGCACATTTACACTCATGTTACCATATACAATAATATAAAACTGACCTTTAGTCTTTACAAAGTGTCCTGACTTGGCTGTGTTGTAGTGGACTAGTATTTTGTAAAATACAGTAACATTTCAATTATTATACAATATATTTGTATATAGTTATTTTCTGAAAATATAGAACAGTAAATAAAGAAGTAAAGCAAACAATTAGCTGTTCTAGTTATGACTTTTGTATTGGTTGCTGCTTGATGTAGGTTGCTAAGCCTTCTAAAATTTTGCACATGGAGGATATGAAACAAAATATTTTTTTTAGGTTTTATATATACAATTGAATAACCAAAAAATCATAAATTACTATATTGATACCATAGAATTCCACTATAATTTATTAAGCTGTATTTGAGTCTATAAAAAATATGAAATTTCGAGCAGACTACTGACACAACCTACCTCCTTGAAATCTTGGTTCAAAAGTAAGAGATGGCACCCTAAAACTTTAAAATGGCTAAGAAACCCACTAGAGGAACATTCTGAGCTTTCTATTGGTTATTCATGTCATATATAGAAGTAAATGTATATAAGGGAATGTTTCCAAAATTGATTTTTAACTGTGTTTTTTAATATTTACTTTTAAATTAAGAAATTGAATAATGTATAATATTAAAATATGAATTATAATCTACAGTTTGATACCAAACTTACTGACATAAATTCATGAATTAGTAGGTCAATATTATTTTGAATGTGAGTCAATAAATGCGATGACATGGCCTTTCACCCATGACCCGTATAGAAACGGTTAAAATATCTGCAATTAAATATGATATTTTAACACATTTAATGATTTTCACATGAGCTATATTCTATATTGTAGTCTGTGGGCAGCTGAACTAAGACCTTTTGTCCAACCTTAAAATGTCGATCCTTGACCTTGTCATAAAAATGCTTCTGAATACCTTGAGTTGTATACAAACTCTGTCGAGCGAGTTTACAGGTCTCCTCCACTCAGTTTCTGAGGTCTAACACGTACTGGTATGTGTTACTTTCTTCTGACTCTTCTTCTCCCATCCATAGTTCTTTCAATATTTGCATCAGACCTCGTACTGTTCTTCCATACAGTAACTTGAAGGGTGAAAATCCTGCACTTGCTTGTGGGACTTCTCAATAAGCAAATAATACTGCCTGCAAGTACCTATTCCAGTCATGTGGTCTCTATTGGCACATCTTCTTTAGCATACTCTTTAAAACTCCATTGACTCTCTTGCAAAGTCCATTACATTTAGGATTGAATGGGGTGGTAAAGAGTTGCAGAGTACTGATGAGTCTGCAAACTTCTTGCATCAGTTCTTGAGGAAACTGGATCCCTCTATCAAAATATCTCCTGGAGGGCTTCTGATACTTTCTGTGTCTCTATCTTCACCGTTGAAGGCCATAAAAATTATACTTTTTCTTAGTAATATCTATATTGTAATGAGTAAATTATGTTAAATTTCATACTTCTCAGATGGGTGGTAAATAAATTAGAGAAGAAAGAAGGCTTAGAGAGCAAATGTCAAATTCTCATACTAGAGAATTTTTAAATATTTTATTATAAATTTAAGAACTTATATTCAAATTTGATTTATAGTTACGTTTTGAAGCCAAGTTTATTTGTATAAAGTGACAACACGGTAATATAATTAAATTTTGAATGTAACTAAAAAGTCATGACCTACCTGTACCGAGATGGTTAGTGTAGTGTAAGAACTCTGGAATAAACATTTTACCAAGTAAAGCAGTTGCAGTTTTCTAATGCAATGAAGTTTTCTAAGTAATTCAAACAAATTATTAAGCATTGTTGATGAGCCTTGAATAGGGGAAACTGCAGTCCACAGCAGAGAGTGTAGGGAATTTTCAATTTAACCTTTGGTGAAAAGAAGACTCTAATATAATTATTAAGAAATGCATATTGTTCCTCAATAATTTTGTTTTTTCTTTTTAATCTAGATCATTCAAACAGTAATGTTTTCAATTTTGGGATCAGTGTTCTCATCTGTTGTTAGTTTACCGTGGGTCATATATAGGGTATTTGTTTTGGAAGAACGACACGGTTTCAATAAACAGGTAAGATTTTTGCTTTTAATGTGGGTAATGTAAATTATTTTCTGAAAATAAAAAAATTACTGATGTAAGAGTCGAGATATGGTAGTTTACGGGGACATTCTGAAGGATAGATATTATCATTTCTGAAAAAATTAATGATGTAATAGCCAGAATTGGGTAGGTTAATGTAACTTTAAATGACAAGGGACCTTTTGGTTCATCCAGTCCAACTTATCTACTAAATTAAACTAAACACTAAGAAATGCAGAGCCAGTTCTTATCACTCAAATATTTATCCACCTTTCCAAAAGCCATCCACCCTGTTAGAAAATTAAGCTGTCTTAGTTAAAAGTGATTCCTACCCTGCTAAAATCTATATTAGACGTTTCCTAGTTTCAACATTTAATACAAAATATATTGATGCATCAAAACTATCAATTCCCTTAACAACCTTAAATGCCTCAATCAGATTCCCTCTAACTCTTCGTTTTTTCAAGAGAAAACAATTTCAGAAATCTTAACCAATCCTCATATGACAGCTTTTCCATCCCAGGTATCATTCTAGTAACCCAATAAGGTAAGAAACCCAAGACTGAACACAGTTCTCCGAATGTGGCCCAACCAATGAACTATATAATGACTTTATAACCTCTTTAGACTTGTATTTAGTATTTCTGTAGAGCCAACCTAAAGTCCTCTTTACACTGCCACAAGCAATAGTACTTTGCTTGGATGGCTTAAGAGTGATCAATCAGAAAATCAAGATCCTTTTCTACCATAACATTGTGAAGGTTAGTCTGGAATTTTGTGATGAAGAAATTTATATTTCTAATATAACACTTAAAATTAATACTCTTTTTTTTTCCCTATAGACTCCAGGATTTTTCATCAAGGATCAGATCAAAAAGTTTATGGTTACTCAA